AGATGCTGTTTCCTCCCCCCCCCCCATAGCTTTCAACAGAAGCCTAGTTTGGAGGAGTATCAAATGCACAGATTATAACAGTTCTTAAATCCCCAAATGTTTTGCGCATGAGCTCTTCTGTCCAGGTTGTCTGTGCAGAAATCTGCACATGCGCTCCCTGATCACTTTTACCACACCGGAATGTACATCGGGTGGAATCCGACATATGAAGGGTCAGGACCATTGTCTGCACCAGCAGAACTGAACCTACCCAGGTTGGAACCATCCCCTACTAATTGTGATGATAACGGTGATCCCCGTAGGACACGTTCACTTGGTACAAGGGCATTTCAGAACTGTCAGAACGCCGGCCATCGAAGGGTGTGCTAAAACAGTCTCTTCTCCGTGTGCATAAAGCTCAGCACCTTTATGAAAGACCAGAGTGCCACTCAGGTCAGGACTTCAGTTTATTTTTAACTTCTAAGCACAAAAAATGCTTTTGGGTTAAATTGCAAAGAGGCCGAGAGGCAAGAGGCAGGCTTACATGTCGTCCAGCCATATGTACTCTGCTAAGGGCTCCGAGCAACGGATACTCCTGTCACGGCTGCTGCCACAGAAAAGTTCTGTTCAGGTGAGGGCCTGGGCGGCAGAAAACAGTCCTTACATTTTAAGCAACTTTGTCTCAGGAAATATTTTCTGTCATATTCTGTGATATTGTTGACCCCTGCCCTCCCCCCAGCCAGTTGCTGCATTTTTGTAAAAATACAAGTATTTTTATAGGAACGGGAAACCTTTGACAGAGACCGACTCAAACAGCGGTTAGCGTTTTGAGGAGAGAGAGTAATTTTTGAGCTCAGCACAATGAGAATGCCTCCCACGTCGAAATCCACTCCTTCCGTCCATCCTATCGGAGCGTTTTTTCTTTCCTCCAAGGGAAAATCATCAGGGGTTGATTTTAATCGGAGCAGAGACCTGCAGGGGACGTGTGAAGCAGCCACAGCCTCCCCTCCCCCCTCCTTGCTACTGCGGTGGTCCTATTTGCAGCCCCCTGGCTACGTTTAGTCAGAAAGGGACCCACGGGTTATCCCAATGGGCCCTCGTTGCCCACAGGGTGTGTGTCATCTGGCACACAGCCTTTAAAGGCAGCAGGAACAGCAGGCCTTTTGCAAGTCTCGCCAATCAGGCAGAAGTTGTTGTTATCAGTTATGAACGGGGTCTAGATCATGTTCTAGTGAAACAGGAGATATTCAGTTGAAGAGAATGGGATTCTTCTGGTAGAAAAGAATCCAGGTACATTACTACCTTTGGTAGTGGAAAGTGCAGCCAAGTCACAGCTAACTTATGGCACCCTCAGTGGGGTGCCAGTTTGGTGTAGTGGTTAAGTGCGCGGACTCTCATCTGGGAGAACCGGGTTTGATTCCCCACTCCTCCTCCACTTGCACCTGGCTGGATGACCTTTGGCAAGCCGTAGTTCTGACAAGAGCTGTTCTTGAAAAAGCCGTAGTTCTGTCAAGAGCTCTCTCAGCCCCGCCTACCTCACAGACAATGCTCCCTCTAAGCTCCAAAGTATTGTGAGCAGAAATTCTACTTTGTGAGCTACTGGCATTAAAGTTGTGAGCGAGCGATTTGGCTACTGCATAAATTAGTTTGTTCTGGAGCCCTCCTTCCTGAGCTAAGGCAAAAATGTGTGAGCCGGAAGCTAAAAAACTGTGAGCTAGCTCACATTAACTCAGCCTAGAGGGAACACTGCTCACAGGGTGTCTGTTGTGTGGAGGGGGAAGGGAAAGGAGATTGTGAGCCGCTCTGAAACACCTTCGGGTAGTGAAGGGCCATGGGGTATAGACCCAATCTCTTCTTCTCCTTCTTTCAAGGCAAGAGGCGTTCAGAGGTGGTTTGCCATGGCCTGCTTCTGCGTCACGACCCCAGTATTCCTTAGTGGTCTCCCAGCCAAACACTCGCCAGGGCCGACCTTGCACACATCCGGAGACCTGACGAGATTTGGGCAAGCCTGGGCTATCTCTGCCTCTTTTTTATTTTACAAAGGTTAATAATTTCAGAAGCAGGAACAAAAAATGCAAATATATAATGCTGGTCACCACCACCTTCCAGTTCCCAGAGTAGTAGCGGTGAAAACGACAGAAGCCAAAGAGAATGCGTAAAATGCATCATAAAATACTTGGCCCGAGAGAGGTGTGGCTCTGGAAGACAGAGGGACAGGCGTCCAAGCTTAGAAACAAGGATGCACTGAGGGGCCGGGATGATCCCTATTCCCCCTCCGCTAAGCCTTTGTTCTGCCACTGCATTTCCCCGTGAGGTGCTGACAGGTATTGAAAGCTTCCCTTTCCCCGCTGGGACCCCACAGGCCCCTTGGCCCCTGCTTCTGGCACTGCAGAATGCCCACAGAAGCGCTGTCAGGAAGCCTCATCGAAGCCAGGCACAGCCAGAAGCTGGGCCCAGAAACAGGGCAGGTTGGCCGCTGCAGTGGGCAGACGTCACGCACCGGGGCTGCTGCCAGTGCTCTCGTGGGCGGCTGCAGTGCCCGTTTCATTCCAGTTGGGAGGGAACAGCAGCCGATGAGTGCCGCCAGTGGCAGACTTCTGGAGAGCAGGCAAGGAAACTCCCAAGAGACTTTGGGGGAGGCTGGTGTGGATGTGATCTGGCACCGACATGGGCGGCTTCAGGGATGCTTTCATTTACGACTTACTGATTTGTTAGAGACATGCCGTATGGTAGGGATGCTCACAAAGTTTTCTACTGCTGAGTTTCTCCGTGAAATTTTATTTGCCCACTCCTTGGCATGGGGTACGGAGACCGAACTGATTGTGCTTTTGGTCCATTTTGCCGTGTTGTGCGTACTACTAAGGATGGCTGTAGCAAGTACCAGGTTCCCCTTTGTATGCACATCTGGAGAGTTCCTCACACATTCCTTTCCAGCACAGGTTCATGTAGGACTTTTCATATGACCCGAGTACAACGCAACGATTAATCAGTATTTCAAAAACAAACGTGTCGTGGCTGCTGAAATACAGAATATGTTTGCTGGAAAACACACAGCCATTTGCTCCACTGGCGTCATAGACGTTTGAGGCCATATTAGATATGATTGCAACAGACCTGTGCACCGAAGCATAAAGATCGAGTGTTTAAGTATGACGCTGAAGTACGGCGTTCGGCAATAATGAACCTGCTCCAGTCATCTTTGGAGGTTCTCCTTCTGGTGCCCTCAGAGCCTAGACGGGTGGCGACTGTTTTCTGGGTTGGGGAACTCCCCACCCCCTTCGCCCTGGGAGAGTCGTCTGTCTGAAGAGGCCTCTGTTTTGCTTGTCACGCCCCCAGTAACAGTGATTGGCCCTCCTTCCTGGTTCTGGTGCTCTCCACGTGTTTTTATTGAATCATTTTATCATTTTAAAAGTTGTTCAGATGCTTTACTCTCTTTTTTTATGTTTGCTGCCTTGGGGCCCCAGTGCTTTTCTTTTTTTTATGTTTGCTGCCTTGGGGCCCCAGGACAAGTGGGAAGAGGGGATAAAAATGCTTTGAATAAATAAATAAGTAAATGAAATTAAAAGCCCGCTTCCCCCCCCCCACCAACACTTGGACACCTCTGCCCCACAGCACAAGTAGGGAAATGACAATGACAATGGTTCTGGTCTATGGAACAAAGCCCGAGTCCAGTGGCACCCTTAAGACCCAGAAAGTTTTATCTGAGGTATAAACCTTCGTGTACATGCCCTTGTCTTTAGCGACGTCTTCAGTGCAGGCAGATGACAGTGGATAGCCAAGAATTGCCAAAAGGTGCCCCTGGACTCAACTGTGGCTCTGTTGCTTCAGGCCACCACGTCTGCCCACCCGGTTTTGATCTCTATTGGTGAGAAAACCGTGAGGAGGACTGCCAATCATTCCAGAGTAAAACAGGGTGGCTCTCTCTGTGCCAGGGCCCTTGGGAACCACAGCTCTTTGCATGCGTTCGAAGTCAAATCCATTCCTTAAACCATCTGCATTTGATAAAGTCTTGTTGTTATCCTCATCCCACAGGTGTATTTTATGGTGCCGGTGGCGCTCTCAATTGGAGTCATTTCAGCTTTTCAGATACCAGCTTTCTTCAACGGCAATAACCTGTTGGCCGTGTTCCTCCTTCTTTTTCTCTTTGGGTAAGGATCTCATTCCGTTTCATTCAACTTGACTGAAAAACAAATGCACAAAAACATTCAAACTCGGTCGAATTTTTTTGTAGCAGAGCTGCCTGGCTTTGGTGTAATGGTTCGGAGAGTGGACTCTAATCTGGGAGAACCGGGTTTGATTCCCCACTCTTCCACGTGCAGCTGCTGGTGTGAGCTTGCATCAGTTACAAGTGCTTTCAGAGCTGTTCTCTCATGAGCAGTTCTTGAAAGAGCTCTCTCAGCCCCACCTACCTCACAGGGTGTCTGTTGGAGGCAAGGGAAGGGAAAGGAAATTGTAAGCCATTCTCCTTCAGGTAAAGAAAAGTGGGGTATAAATCCCATCTCCTCCTCCTCCTCCTCCTCCTCCTCCTGAAGGGAAAGGAAATTGTAAGCCATTCTCCTTCAGGTAAAGAAAAGTGGGGTATAAATCCCATCTCCTCCTCTTCTTCTTCTTCTCTAACTCTTCTGTAACTCTTATGGCATTTGTGGAGTTCATGTAGGAGTTTAATCACGGGACGACCTGTGTCCTGAGGTCTTTGTAGGAGCTCCTCCCACCCCACCCCCATGGCCCCACGAGGGAAGGGCGGGGACACGGTGTTTTGTGCTGGAGTGGTTAGATGTTTGGATTCTCTAGTTACAAACCATCTTATTAGGCTATATCAGCAGACAGGTGGGAATAAGTAAACTGAAATGCAATAAGCAGTGGTTGAATCGTGGATGAAAGGCTTGCCGGCACTTCAGCTGCCAGTTCCAATGAGCCAAGGGCCAGCCAGCAGACATCTACGACTTCCTCTTTTACGTATCTCATCACTGCTCAGAGTTAACTCCAGGCAGTCCTGTTGTTTCTTTTCTTCTTGCCAACAAAGAATTTCAAGCGCTCTCTCCTTGGTGGTGGACAAAAAGCCCCCTCTTCTCCCAAACAACCAGGAAGTGCTTTCCTGGCTTTTGATGGTCTTCTCTTTTCCTGCGCTTTTCTTGTTCCTGCTGGTGACGCCGTTCAGATACGCAACGTTTTCGTGGATGTATTTGCTGGCGGGGATCTTCAAGGAGACAGGAATGGCCTTCATCGTTTACGTCTGCATCAACTTGTTCTTTGGCATCAACACCATCATCACGCATTCGGTGGTGTTTCTGCTCTCCCAGGAAAAGGCCACCGATCAGGTAAGAAGCTGGATAGCCGACGTGGAACTCCTGCAGAAAGTATCGGGGGGGGGGGGGGCCATTTTTGTCCATGGAAAAAACATTTGTTCCAGGGGGTTAGGGATTGAGTAGTATCACTTATCTTTCACGCAGGACAAGTAAGACTCTGGCGTAGTTGCATATATCAGAGGAGTCAGTTTGTACACAAAAGCAGCTTCATTTGCCTGCGATCAGGCATCCTGCAGAGAATCCCTTCTGCCTACATCAGCTGCAAATGGCAGAAGGCAGAGAGCGGCTGCCTTCCCCTTTTGACAGGCTGCCCAGGGACACCTACACAGACTGGTTCTTTAGCCAGGCCCAGCTATGAGCGCTGGCCTTTTCCTGGTTAAGGTCCTCTCCAGAGCTCTCGAGCCCCGTAAGTGCCGCACTCCCAGGACATCAAGACCTGAGGAAGTGGGTTCTTTTAGGTTCTAACATGATCCCGAACAGGTTATAAATCTATAAGTACACAGTAAGCTTACACCAAAACCTAAACCTGCACATGGGTAATAAACTCCAGTATACTTCCTCACTTTATTTTCCAAATATTTATTTCCGCTGCTTTTATCTTGTGCTCTCTGTTTTAAAAACTCCCCCAGGAACTTACAAAAGTTAAAAAATAGGAGTAGCAGGATGAAAATAAGACCACTGGCGAGGCTGCGACACAAACAACTGATAAACGCAACAGCAATCAGCCGAGTGTGAAAATCAGGGCCAGAAAACCATAACCAAAAAGGAGAGGACCAAAAACTAAAAACCAAAATGGCGGG